GTGGAAAGAGCGAAAGAATGAAAGAGAAAGAAAACAGAAAGAGAACGGCGGTTACTTCTGTATCCTTCACTTGGCGATAACGCGGACGGCAGTATTAGAGTAGGTGAACTATAAGTACTTTCGCTCCCGCTCGCGAGTTAATTTTCAAAATCGTTCTCACGGCGAGAAACGTTTGGCAAAATGTCCTACTGGAATATTAGTGTGAAACTGGGAGACAAGGTCTTATATATTCGTTTATATTCAGTGTCTGCATGCGCTGGCTCGCCTTCGGATGTACGAGGATTCAATTTTCAAATAATTCTCGTTAAATTGGCACTGGTATTAAATCCCACGATTTTCTCCATTTCAGTGATTATTGCTATAAACTTTATTTGAAATTCTTCGATTTTACTTTTCTTATTATTTTTGAATTGTTAGAAAGCACAAATACCTATACAATAATTAACTATTCTATTCTAAAAACAATAAGAATCTTATTTTAGGTTGTACATTTGAGATCAAAGCAATGAACTAAAATAAATGCCTATAACGGTCGAAGCTGAATCTTTAATGCTTAAATAATTCAATGTGAATTGTATATATATACTATATATACATATATATATATATGTACATGCATATATATATATTTTATATGTAGCATTCGAACTGCGTGCCGAGTTGGTTTTCCGGACTTATAAACACAATTAAACTACTGTAATAATATCACAAATTAAATTAAATAGTAGTATAATGGCTCAATAATTTAAAAACAAGTTAAAAGAAAAAGGGCTAGAAGTTTGAACTTCTGGCTCGTAGCTCTTTTTCTTTTAACTTGTTTTTAAATTAAATTAAACTGACAAAGCAATTTCTAATAATTCGATGCTTAATCAGGCATCATATTAGAAAGATGTTAATGTACTGAAAAACTGTAAATAAATTTATTGTAAATGAATTTGTTATATTTTTCTAAAAAAACTTCACACACACGATTCTATTTAATTTTCAAGGCTTGAAAAGTAATAAAGAACAAACTAAACCAAAGTTAATTTTGTCAGTTCAGTAATATACATGCAATCTAAAAGTTCTTCAATTAGTAAGTCTGTGTTTGTTTCATTTCAAATAAGAGGGTATCACTTAAATGAAAGATTCACCTCAAAGATTTAGAAAAAAATTGCAGTCTGTAATCGTGTAAGGATAGATGCCTCATAAAAGATGGAAATATTTCGCATAACGAATAAACTGTGTCCCGAAGGGATTAAATGGGTTAAATGGCGATAAATTTCCAGAAGTCGTGCGTCGGAGGGAGAGGGGAGCGGAGGAACGTAGAAAGCTTCTCAAAGTGCTCGTCAAGTCGTATAATCCGCGATTTATTTGACCCGAGCCGTCATAAATCCGGCGTCGGTGCGTTATTCCTGTAACTAGGAGTAGCAAACGGATCTCATTTCAGCCATCGGGAGCACACTGTCGCACTATCAAAGAGGGAAAGAGAGGATCAGGAAATGGGGAGAGAACGATCCTCGCGTCGTCTCGCTTGAGAAGGCGGTTTGGCTTAACTCCCGGGAATCTGGATCCGAAACTATCCGACGAACTACTCGCAAGACAGTTTGCCCAGAAACGGATTTCTGAGTCCCGGGGGATGCCACCCTGCCTGCGGCCCCCACCTTCGGGCCGTCGTTCTCCTTCCCCGACCGTTTCGATTTGAAACTCCGCGTATGCCTTCTCCACCGGCCGAATAACACGATGGCTCCATTATTGCGCCGAGTGCTTTTGGGTATTATGTGATGGGATCGGATTTCAAGTCTGCCCGTCAAAAATTATCAAAATGGAAGGAATAAATGGAAAAAAAAATTCGTCTGCGGAAAGCGCGGAAATCGGAGGACTTTTTTCCCCCTGCGACGAAAACCTGATTGAACCGCCAGCGTTAAATATTAGGTATATCTTTGCACGATATTATGCCTCACATTAAAGATTTATTTATTAGGCAGATCTATTTTAAGCAGGGATGCATCGGATATCCGGAGAGTGTCCGGTATCCGGTATCATCCGGCACTTTTTTACTATCCGACCAGATAGTTGGACATTATTAGTATCCGAGAATATATCCGGTTGAAATGTGATATCATTAAATTGTGGATTTTTTTCTTACAACAAATGTAATACAAATGTTCTAGCTAGAAACATGTATATTTATGATGCTATAATATTTTATACATTGTCACAAAATTACAATCTTTTTCTCTGTACGAGTATGTAGAGGCTTTTTTTTTTAGAAGACACTTTCTCGGAATTCGATCGGATATTCGGAAAATGTCGGATATCCGACTCGAAGAAACTGCCTTCTCGGATATCCAGTATCCGGTAATTTTACGATCCGGTGCATCCCTCATTTTAAGTCCGCTAAAATACAATATTTCATTTGTCCGTAATTTTATATCTTTAATTTACTTTAAGTAAAATATATTTTAATTTTTAATGATAACTCCGTAATAATCGCATCAAAAAGATTCTCGATTGTTGTGCCAAAAAAAAAAAAAAAAAACGAACTATAGATAGAAAAATATCAGGTATTATCACATCGATCCCTTATTTTCCATGTCGCTTTCCTTTTACCGATATCTTTGTTGGATATCGGTAAAAGGGCAGAATCGAGAGAACTATAAAATTTTTATTTAAACATCGTTCCGACGTTTGCCTCGCTTATGAAAACATTTGAGGGCAAGGTAAAATTATGTCGGGTGTCTTTAGACAGAGAGACTAGCGGATCGTTTTCCCGTAAAACAGAGATACGTCTGAGCTCGCTACCTCTCCGAATGTCCGCCAAGTTTCAGCTGCATCGAAAATTTCGGATTTAAGAGTTCGTCTTGTCACTTTGCGGCCCCAACCACGCAAACTTTATTCACGACACCGATTTATCCTGCCACTTTATAGATCAGTTTAAAATACCTCTCGAATTTCATTTCCATCACCAAGAAAGAATGACAATATTTTCTTTCTAGAATTTGCATGGTAATTTGTACAACTAATACTAATAACATTAATAATAATAATAATACACTTTAAAACATAAAATGTTAATTTTAACTTGAACTATATAGTGGATTCTCTGAGACATGGAAAAATGGTAATTTTAACATTTTTCCATGTCTCCGAAAATCCATTAAACTTTAAGTTAAAATTAACATTTTATTTTTTACAGTGCAATAGTAGTAGTAGTGGATTTAATAATAATAATAATAATAATAATAGCAGCTTTAATGAACGTACGTGAAACAGTAGTAATACTATGATGTACAATATAATAGTGCCGTTGGTAAATTGCAAGAATTTGCACAAACGGTTATATACGGTTTAAAGATGGTTCTTTGATTAAATAGTTTGGAACATCCCCACGGACACGTTTCACTTCTCAAACACGAGGCTTCGAAAGCTACTGGTCCGCTTTTCGCTGATACGATGAAGCCTCGAGGAAATCGCGCTGGTTTTATCCATCCAAATCTCACATCGCGGGATTAAGTGCCCTTCAGTAAGACAGCTACGCCTTCTTCGAGGTGCGCTTATCAAAGGAACTTTCGCGACGATATTTTTGTCCGTCTTCGTACCACTCTGAGAAAAAGTTTGCCAGGTGGAATTAGCGGGAACTTTATAGCCCACGGTCGTAAAGCACCAGCCCGCGCGCCCGGAGTTAAGCCGTGTACGCGCGCCCTGATCTTCTCTAGCCTTTTATTTTTTCCCTCCCCCTTCCCCTCTCTGCGCGCGATGTACTTCGGTTCTCTCTGATTTTCCACGTTCAATGGCACCTACTTAATTCAGCCGTCGTACGCCGTCGGAGAGACTGTTAAAAGCGAATTTGCTATATGACATAATATTGACTTAGCGTCCTGAGCAGCTTAAGATACCAAATTAATGAACAGTACCTCCGCATGCAAATATGAAATTTGAAGTTTCCATTATTCTAACCCGCAACATACTCGTATTCGACACTTTTATTCTTTTCGGACTTTCCTCCCTTTGTTGTTGTGATTTTTGGGGGGGGGGGGAAAAAAAAAAAAAAAAAAAAAAAAGAACCGGGAACTTGATACTTGATTTTGTCAAAGTTATCAACGCAAATCAACTCGAAAATCAACTCGCAGTATTATGAATCTTAAATACGAAAGGCAGCGACATTTATTGCTTGATTTTGTCAAAGTTGTCACCAAAAATAAACGCCTCA